TTTTTCAAGCGCTACAAAATCATCTGTCGGATTGTTTCATTAGAGACTGTATGTTTGTGTTTGTGTATTTATATATATCATCTCATACTCTTCTTTATGAATGCTTACTTCCTGCTTGACAATCACACCATGTTTTGGTGGTTCGGTTAAGGAAAAAGAAAAAAAAAAGTGTAATACCGGCGATTGTGTGTGCTGTCTGTGGCGCCTCAAAACGTGTTAGAGCTGGGTGTGCAGCAAAGAGTCGCCGGCTGTCATTTTTTTTGCGATGGTGTGAAATGCTTTATTTTCACACCCCAAATCGAGCTTTTTGCAAGGAAAATTTTTTTTTTTTTTATGAGGGGAAAATCAAGCAATATGATGAGAGTTGAAGTTTAAATTTTCGGAATTTTTAAAAATGAAATGAAGACTTTCATGTGTAAAGAGAACAGTCTGAATTTTGCATGAAAGTTAAAATTTTACCTGAAAACATTTACATTTTGCCAAACAAAAAAAAAAAGGGGGGATTGTTTGAAAGTTGAAAATTTATTGGAAGTATTCCGAATTTTTATTGTGAAATGAAGGCTGAGTATTATGAAAAATATTTTGTTTAAATGAGATTTTTGTTTTAACTTTGAAAAAAAAAAATCACGCAACCTAAAAATATTCAATTTTGCTGGTAGAAAATCTTTTGTTTTACTACGAAATAATTCTGAATTTCACAAGAAAATGACCTGAATTTTCACCCAAAAAATGGCTTTTGACAATAATATTTTTTTTAATCAACTAGAAAAAAAAAGTTGACTGTGCATTTGTGAAGTGTGAGGAAAAAAATCTGAACTCTTGCACAAAATTTTACAGGCAAAAGTTAGAAGTTCACAAGAAAAACATCTGAATATTTCAAGGAAAAAAAAATCACATCTGACGTTTTATGAGGAAAAAAAAATCAAAATATTTTTGAGAAGCCCCGTAGTTTTCAGGGGGAAAAAAAACAATCTGACTTTTTCCAAGAAATAAATTCCCTGAATAATAAAGTTTATTTTACACACTCGTTTTCTTCCTGAAGATTGCGACAATGTCTCGAAAATTGGTGAAGCGTGTGCGCGTTTTTTGTTTTTGCTTACGTTGTTTCCCGACAGCTCTTCTTCCCCCGCTTGTCAATCTTTCTTCGCCTTTTGTTTTCCTTCCTTTTCACGCATCTGCTCTTTGTCCCACTTGTTTTTTTTTTTTTTTTTTTTCCTTTTAAATATTTTCCTCTGTACTTTTGTATGTGTTTGATGCGTACGCCTGCGCCGGAGGGGGTAACTTGAGTGTCTCGTGGCCAAAGTGCCAAAGCAGACAGAGTGGGGCAACTTTGGCGTCTTTTGTCTGCAGCGGATTTTCAAAAGCTCACATGAAAAGTGGGCGGGTAACCTTTGCTTGCTTTGCTTTGATTTTTGGGGGGGGGGGGTTAAATGCTGTCAGCACGAAAGTTGAAAGAATCTTGAAAGGTTTTGTTGTGGACTTTTAAAAAGATGAAAACATATTGGTGGTGTTTTCTTTTTCGTGTGTGTGCAAAGAAACGGCTTTGATGCGGTTTCAGGCTGGCTCCAGATGTTTGTCGGGGTTTCAAATGCGAGTTTGGGATTTCTCAGATGAGTATTTCAAGTTCTGGTTTTTATCCTGGGCCAGGGTTTCAAGTTTGGGTTTTGAATTAGGATTAGCAGTGTTTGCGTAGTGGTTTCAAAGTTGGGTTCAAGTCAGGGTCAGGGTTTGAAGTTAGGGTTTCAACTTGGGGCTCTAACGCATTTAGCGGTTTGTCACTCAAATGTGTGCAGTGGGTGGATTGGTCGCTGAGGTCGCTCCTTCACTTAGTCACCAGCTCTTCTACCATTGAATGATTATTATTTTTTTTCTTTTGTGGGGTAGGGCATCAAGTGGGCTCGTGCTGATCAATGAGTATGAACGTGAATAATGAAGGTGGGGAGGGGCCGGCGGGGTGAGTCACTTTATTTTGGGGGCGGCGACTGTGACATAAGCGTCAGGCCTCGGAAAGAAAGACGGTCGCTATTGATGCGGCCGCTGCCATGGCGACCGCTCGCGGGGATGGAAGCTGGTGTGGATTATTATGGGCTGACTCACTCTTCACAGGTTGGAAGATCAGAGCGCGTGCACAGGTTACAAGTTGGTTTAGGAGACAGCGTTGCCAAGTCACGGGTAAGGTTTCCAGTTAGGGATGTAAAATGGGGTGAGGGCATCAAATTAGGGTTGCAAGTCACGGTTAATGTTGTCAGGATTTCACGCCTGGGTTGGTATTTTACACGGATTTCGATTGAAGGTTTGATGACAACTATCGTGATGCTGATGACGACGGTCGATCGTTCCTCATGATGATAACAATGACGATCGTCCTCATGATGATGGAGATCATCATCATGGTAACGACGATAACGATCTTTGTCATGATGATGATGAGAATCGACTGTCGCCGTGACCGTTGATCGTTTGTCATCACAGTGACAGTCATCATGATGGCCGCCACGATCATCATCATCATCATCATCACGATAACGACCAGCATGACGACGACGATCGTCTTTGTCTCGATGCTCTTGTGACGATCATCGTGATGGCGATGATCGTCATCGTTGCAGTATTTTCTCTGGATCTGAAATGAAGCTTGCGCTTTTTGGGAGTGTGTGCGGCGCCAAGTGACAAAGGTATGTTTGGGGTCTTGCCAGGTGTGGATGATCGTCCTGCAGATTTCGAGAAAGAGCCGCGAGAGCACCGTAAGCCGCCATGCCGCCACCCGCCGACACCGTCAAGGTGGCCATCCAGTGGCCGGGGGCTTTCGCCAAGTTCATAGAGATTGACCAGGTGATGTCAAAACCACTCACTGCTTTCATTGAATGTTTTATTTCAAAAAAAAAAAAAATTATTTTATTTTATTTTTTTTGTCATTATTAGCAGGTTGGAGGAATAAAATAAAACACCTATGCAATTGTGCATTCAATAGGCATGTCCATATATTTTGTGCAAAAATAAAATGCTCATTCTTAAAAATAATAATAATAGAATGAAACACTCTGGAACAAAACACAATTTATTTTGAAAAAGTTTTAAAAATATATATAATAAATAATAATAATACATTTCATTTATAAGCGCCTTTCAAAACACTCAAGGACACTTTACAATCAAAACAAGAACAA